GATATAAAAGGAGGAGGGGGCGACAGCCTTTAGACATGCAAGACTTCAAGATCTCTAGTCTTCGGAGCTGAAATCACAGAAGAAAGATTTCGGCAACCTCTGCAAAATTCTTTCTTACCGCCTCCTTCCTGTAGCCACCATACCTCCAGTTCGATCTCCAAATTCTTGAGAGAAATCAAGATTCAATCTTGATATCAGTCTTGCAAAAAGATAGATTGGGAGCTGTACTCACGTGCCATCCTGCAGATTCTTGCGAAGGATCTGGTTTTTAGAAGAACACTACTGACTCTGCTCCATCCTACACTGCGCCATCTGCAGTGGGAGTAGTTTTTGGTTCCTTCGTTGGGCGTGAACACCTCCTACTGGTTTTTTTTCAGATTTGGCTTGGTTCTTGGTTCAAGATTGATCATTGAAAAATGTGTTTTTCTAAAATAGGGAATTCGATTCCCAGTAGAGATGGGAGAAAATTTTGAAATTCGCCCAGCCCATTCTGTATGATTTGGGCGTCCATATGATGGATATCCCATCCCTTCAAGTAGAATTGTTAGAACTTGGGATATGTGTTAGATATTGTGTTAGTTTATAGAAGGAAGGATAGTGGTGTGAGAAAGAATAAACTAGGTAAGATTCGTAGCAAATGGTAAAAATTCAAGACTCGTAGACATTTTATGTAAGAATAAACTAGGTATGTTAGATTGGTGTGGAACTGTTTTTTATGTAAAATTTTTACGTTCTCCATGTGGGTTAGTTGCGTTTCTAGCAACAAATGGGTATTGAATAAACTATTTTTTTGGTGTGTCGGTTATCTTTTAGAGCTTCTGTATACAACTTTGAAGAGTGCAGTCTGCAGGATTTTCCATTCTCCATCTCTCTTGTTATCAAGTTTCTTGGATTTGTGCAAGAAAGCTTGTTAGAGAAATGCAGCGACAAGAAGAGAATGAAACCAAACAAGTAAACGTGCCGGAGGAGATCATCGTCCGCATACTTTCGAGGCTATCTGCCATCAAGTCGCTCTTGCGTTTCTGGTGCATTTGCAAACCCTGGGGCGCTCTAATTAGCAATCAAGATTTCATTAAAATGCATCTCAAACGATCTTCTGAGGATCAAAACCCCAGCCTCATCGTTTACCGCGAACCACATTGCTACTCCATTGATTTCGATGCATTTGATCTTCGGAAAAACATGGTGAGACTTGATTTTGCATTTCTCGAGGAATTGTCAACAAGATTTTCAATACAAAGTTCTTGTAACGGTGTGCTCTGCTTAGCTAATTCGGACACTGTATTCCTATGGAACCCATCTACCAGAAAGCACAAGAAATTACCTCCGCAGTGTCAATTCCCCGGCGTAATAGGTATCAGTGTCTGGACATTGGGTTACTCTCCGAGAACTGAAGAATACAAAGTACTAAGGTTTATATATATTCGTGATGAGTCTAATGAGTCATTAATCGTTGGATGGGAAGTGATGGTGCACACAGTTGGTACTGATTCATGGAGAAACCTGGGACAAATCCCTTGGAATCTTAGTGACGAAATGCCTTGGGAGACTCGTGTTAATGGAACTCCTTATTGGATTGCATTTCGCTGGCCGGAACCACGTGACCTGATCGTATCTTTTGATGTAGGGGATGAGGAATTCAGAGAGATCCCAATTCCCAACACCAGCAGTGAAGAGGAATTTCGCATCGTATTAAAGGATGTGGGAGTTGTGAGAGGACGCCTCTTTTATATTGAACGTCTTCCTGATAATTTCATTGAGGTCTGGGTTATGGAGGATTGTGAAATTAAGGACTCCTGGGTCAAACTTTTTCGGACTAAATTCGATGTGGATTTAAGATGCTTTAAGCCCTTTTTCTTTTCAAAGGATGGCGAAATTGTACTACTGGAAGAGGATAGCAAGAAGTTTATCTTGTGTGACCCGAAAAGAAATGTGGTTAGGGAAATTAGAGCTTTTCCTGAGGCAGGTTGGTTTATATGCTGTTCTTATTTGAGGAGTCTGGTTACTTTTTAGGCTGAAGATGGGATTGCTGGCCTACAGTATGATAGGGAAGTAACAAAGAAAAGATCAGGGAGGTGAGGTAAAGTTAATTAGCTGCTAGCTTCCAATCTATTTCTGTACATTTCCCCCCTTCAATCTTTATGTTAATTTATGCTTCTTAGAGCTGATTTCATTGTGATGGCTTCAAATGTTTCTTCTATATATATAACAGTTTATTTCAGTCTATTCAATTTGCTTATTTATGGATAAGCAATGTTTATGTTGCTTCTTCATAGAATTGTTTGCCACTTTGCTAGTGTTTATCTTCTTCAATTTCTTAACCATCCAATTCTTAATGGTTTATATTTCATCCAGGATGATGCTGGAGTAAGTTGCTTGCTAACAATGAGAACACAAGGGCAGAAGAAAATGAATAATGGAAAGGAAGAATTGGCATACTCATTTTGTGCAGAAAGCATCCATTGTTCATGGTTGTATTAAACTGTATGAACATTATCTGTGTGTAGTGACTATACTAGATTGTTCCAGAATTTAAGTAGTATCATGCCAGGTTCATCTTGTATCTGGAGATCTGCCCAACTGTTTTTGAACTGGAAAATCAATTGATGTCTTGTTTTGTGAAGTAGTCGTTAACTTGTTATTAGTAGTATCGCGGAAGGTTCAAAGTATCGATTCATACTGGTCCATATTGGCCAATACGTATTGTATCAGTGCCTTCCCCATACATCCCTACAGAGGTGTTTTGGGTCGGCAAGTGGTTCAGGAGGTAGACTGGCCTTAAACTGGGTTCTCTGAAACAGATTAGAAAAAAAATAAAAAAACAAAAAAAATGTACCGATACAGGCCGATACACCCTACCAACATACCGGTGAGTATCAATACTTTGAACCTTGGTATGATGATAAGCTTGCTATTTCAGATTTCTTATATGTGTATACCACCTTATCATACATTAGTCCCTTTAAACTGTTTTGCTCTGAATCATATGGATGAATCTATCTTTCACGAAGGTACTTGTTTAATATCAGGTGGTGGGTTAAATTCCAAGAGAGCATAGAGAATCGGGCATATCTATGATTTTGAATAATATTTCTAAGATAATATTGTCAAGTTATACACTATGATGTGTGCATTCTTCAGATCCATATAGCTTTGTAGAAGTAAAGAGATAAATTTAACTGTATCAAACATGGTTTTCAAACTGCTGTTGATCCGGACGGTTGGACTATTCGGCCCAGAAACCATTCAGGCAATCGGTTCCGTTTACCTCAAACCCGGTTCCTGACCAAAAACCATTGAAAAAGTCAATGACCTGTTGACTCAGACGGTCAAACCATCGACTTGTTGACCCGTTCAATGGTTTTTGGCCATTTTTTTATTTTTTAATTGTTTTTGTCAAAACAGGTTGTGTGTTCGAACTGGACAGTTGGACCATTAACCCAAAAACTGATGGCCAGAACGGTTCCATTTCTATAATGCCTTTTAAAAGCATGGTATCAAATATTGCAATGCAAGGTGCCAAATAGCATGGGCATGACTTTACTCCCAACATGGGCCACCCTCCTCTTGTATATCCCATTTGATTATCTATGTAAAATCAAATGTTGCTTTGCTCTCTTTTTCAGGAGTTTATGGTTGAGGGTAGGGGTAGAGGGTAGAGGTAGATGGAGGCAACATTTTGGAAAATGTTTGCATCTAGTTATCATCTTGTGTCTGTTGCTTTTCTATGTTCTAGGGATTTCAATGGTTGTGGTATTAATTATTTCATAGAAACTATTAGATACCTATTGAACTGTTTGTTTTCCAAAAGAAAAAAAGAAATAATTATCACAAGCAATTGCTAAATATATACTTAAAATAAAAAAAAGGATGTATAAAGCCAATTAATGATCAACAATTTCACTTGCAGGTTAGATGATAAAACACTGGATTTACTATTTCAGGTTATTTATTTATTTTTTTTGCTGACTTAATTCTTGTATCCATATGAAATAAAATTTCCCTGGTCCCTACATAAATCTGAAAAAAGAACATGGGATTCTTGGTCAATGGGAACCAAAATCCCATTGACCAACTTCCCCCCTCTCAAAATTCAAAAAAAGAACGCTCCCTAAAAGTCATCAGTCCACATGACTAAAATAGGGGATCTGTTTAGTAAAACCATATATCTGCGTGCTTATTGGGTTGAAGGTTGCTCCATTTCTTTCTTTATTTGGTTAGAAAAAGAATGTCACTGAAGTTATAACCTTAGTGTTCAATAAAATAAGTCACTCTATGGCCTCAAGCAGGCTTCACAGCAATGGTTCGCAAAATTCAACAAGCTTTCCTTGACATTGGGTTCCAGCAGTTAGTGGCCGGCTACTCCTTGTTCACTTCACACCAGTCCAACTCATACATTGCTGTCCTTGTGTATGTGGAAGATCTAATCATCACCAAGAATTATCCAACTCGCACTGCTTCTCTTAAAAGCCACATAAACAATTGCTTTAAGACAATGGACCTCGGGCCCTTACATTATTTCTTGGGCATTGAAGTCTTCAGAACTACTAATGGAATTTTCCTTAATCAACATAAGTATATTCTTGACATCATTACCGAAGCGGACATGCTTGACTATAAACTGAGCCCGACTCCTATGGAACAACATAAGCATTTCATTGATGACTCTAGTCTACCCATCACTGACCCTACCCGGTATAGGCACTTAGTAGATCGATTGGTTTATCTTACAGTCACCCGACCTTATTTAAGCTTTGCAGTCCACTCTCTTAGTCAGTTCATGAATGATCCCCGTCAAGAACATTTGGATGCTGCCCTTCGTATTGTTCGATACCTCAAGGCCACCCCGACACATGGACTATTTCTATCATCAAACAATGACTTCCAGTTTCAAGGTTACCGTGACTTTGATTGGGCTAGTTATCCAATCACTCGGCGATCAACCACAGGATATATCACCTTTCTTGGCAACTCACCACTTTCTTGGAAGACCAAGAAACAACATACAGTCTCACACTCCTCTACAGAAGCTGAATATTGGGCAATGGCTGTTGCTACTTGCGAACTTTTGTGCTGTTGCTACTTGCGAACTTTTGTGGCTTAAGAGAATCCTTGTTGATCTTACAATTACCCTTCTAGAACCCATGCAACTCCATTGCGATAGCAAAGTTGTAGTACACATTGCAGCCAATCCAGTCTTTCATGAGCGTATGAAACACATCGACATTGATTGTCACTTTGTATGTGAACATATTTAGAAGAAGAAAATTCAGACTTTTTCACATTTCTGGCGCCCTTCAGACAGCTGACCTTCTTACAAAAGCTCTCAGTGCAGACCGATTTCAACAGCTATTATCTAAGTTGGGCGTTGCTTTCCACATCCAACTTGAGAGGGGGGTGTTAGCCAAAACATAGGTGGTTATAACAACTTTGTAAATAGGCCACGTGGCCTCCCACTTGTCCAATTCAGTTAGACGGTGGCCTCCCACTTGTCCAAATCAGTTAGACTTGTATCTATATATATGCAGTAATAAGGTATTTCTTTGCACTTGTTATCAAGATACCAATTTACATATGTTGAGTGCTTTTCATATTAGGGATGATCTGTATAGAGGATTTATTGGTTGGTTATTGGCCCGAGTTCATGGTTTAGACTGGTATATTCCTTGTGATTTTTATTGAGAGGAAGTGGAGGGGGTTCATAGGATATAATGGAATGAATGTGAGAGGATCAGAGGGCATTTGCAGTTGGTTCACACATCTAGTATTTCTACCTTGTTCTTTCCTTTCTTTTGAAAAAGGTAAAATATGTATTGAATGTTATTATGTGATACATCCATGATTCAAACCCCAGCTGTAAAACATATATATATATATATATATATATATATATATATATATATATATATATATATAAAAGCTATTCCTCCAGTTGCTTTTGATATTCATCATTTCAATTACAGAATTTTTGATATTCCTTTCCTTTATTTCTTGGAAGTCTTGACATTATTGTATTGTGGTAAACTGGTTTGGAGAAGACTCACAGAAAGTCGAGCTAGTAGTGATTCATAATGGACATTAAAACCCTATAATTTCATCTTAGTTCTTTCTCACTTTTCTTATGCAGTTATCTTTATTTATATCAAGGTACCAGCGAGACAACCTTCGGGAACTAACATAACAAAGCATATATAAATGGAATCCTTCACAGAAATATTTTGTTTATGTTGTCAGTGGAACCCATGATTAACCCAAGCTTAAATTTCTTGGCTACCTGTATTTTAAACTTCAGATACTAATGGAATACGATTCAGGTTCTCCGATTAGAGAGACCCATTTAACTAAGTAGCTTCGGTCAATGACTATCGATGATTCGAGCAATCCAACAAAACTAATCCGAATGTTTGTCAGTTTGCTTATTACAATCAAAGTACATATGTTTGTCAGTTTGATCGAATACAGTTGAATTTGTGTTTTTGTTGGAATATTTTTGTGCTTTAGGTTGTGTCTGGAAACGATGCAAATGGAGTGTAAGTCTAGTTCAAGGTAAATTTGTTTTTGCATCCATTACAGCTAAAAGTCTGATAAAAAGGTAAATTTGTCAGTGCAAAACAAATTCAACTTTGCAATTTATATGGACCACTTTACACTCAACATATTTGCATTCACACTTATTGCATCGTTTCCAAGTGCAGCCTTAACAGAAAAAAATCAGATTTTAACTAGCACAAAAGTAAATGCCAATCTGTTTGAGTGTGCATGTCTTATAAGAGAGAATTCGCTAATCCAACAACCTGCCCAAGTTGAATACCGAGTTCAACAAGTTGTAAATTGATGTAATCATTTATCGTTCAATAAACCTACTGAGACTTCATTTCTTTGTTTTCATTGTTTGATTGTGCATGTCTTATAAAAGAGCAGATTAGCATCAGTTTTTCTAAGCCACCTAACTTTTTGGACCTTTAGTATATGCTTGTTCTACTCCTATTAGTTTTAATTACTATTTAGGTGTTGAATCCACAAAGAAGCTGATTAAACCAACAAAAGGAGTTATCGGTAAGAATGAATAACCTAGAAAAAATGATTTTCTAAAAATAAAAAGAAGAGCAAAAGTATTTGAATAAAAGTAACGATTATTAAAGGATGAAAAGTAGTTTGTGATGAACAAAGCTTCGAGATTCACTTGATCGATTTGCTTAACTGGTTTTGACTTTGATTCATATTTATTACTCAATTGCAAGTTTCACATCCCAAACAAACAATCGAAAAATATAACTTTGAAACCAACGACAAGAACAAAAGTATTTGTTCTAAGACAATTAATTTTCAATGAAGAACAGAATGATCTATTCTTACAAGCTACCCAAGAATGACAACATATCATATTGACAGTATTGCAATCAAGGATCAACTCATAAAATAAATCTACCCAATCAATTATTTTCTAACAAATTGCACATAAAAAAAGCATGACTAATCTTATATGAAAATTGAAGAATATAACTTCAGGGTTTATCAAAATAATTAAATAAATCTCTTAAGAACAAAGTTAAACATTGAAATCTCTCAAGGAATCAAAGTAAAATGACAAGTAAAACGCATCGATCAAGATCCTCCCTAGCCTTGTTGAAGCTTTAACCGTGCTTGGACGTCATTCTCTCATCTTCTCCTCTGTGAAAGACTGAGAGAATAATGCCAAAATAACCTCTGCAAGTCGTCCCCCTTTTAGGTTAGATTTTTCCTTTTTATCGTGCTGCTAGGCTCCTCAATCTGCTCAACCCAGATCTGCATCTTATTCCCCAATTGTCGCCTAGATAGAGATTGATTTAGAGAAAGATATCAACATATGAATTGTAGCTCTATCTCTTAGCTGTCCATATCCTCAAGAATCACTGAATTTTGGCATTTGTAAAGAAAGATATGCCCAAAATACTGGACTCTATTTAGAGTAAAACGGGAAAAGAATCAGCACTCATACTTGGGCCATGGAACTTGGGTTTGGGTTTCTTGGACTTATGTTTGGGATTTCCTCCATTCAATTATTAATTATTTAAGTATAAAAAGTTGCACAAATAATAAAATTGACATTTATAAAATTATTATGAAAAAATATTACTTTTAAGCTCTTTATTTTACAAATGTCAATTGTTGAGCACACTTTAGATATGCATTTTCATGCTTTCGTCACAACCCCCAACCAGCATATTGCTAGTCCCTAGCAATTTAAGTGCAAATAAAAAGATAAAGCATGACGATTAGCTTAAATAGAAATCCAGCAAAACCCCCTAGGAATTTCAAACTAAAAGGTCAGAAAAAGATCACAAATGCTATCAAGATTACTTCAATTATAAATTCCAAAAGTGAATGTGTGTTAATTAAGCGAAACCTTCATACCACAAACCGCAACACATATAACCTTGAGAATTAATCAAAGTAAAAGCCTCAACTCCATATCCTCACAGGTAAGTTGTTTTAAGGCAAAGGATTTCTCCCATGGAGTTGGAAATCAAATAATCACTCAAAGAAAAGGCCAAATTTACGGACAAACAAACAAACGATCATTGATCAAAAGATAGGAAAGTTAGTTGTTTAGAATTCCACCATTCTTACCACCAACCAACTTTAGGATTTCAATCAGTCAAATATGAGAGCAATGCAAATAGAAATCGAGCCTAGTGAGAAAGACTGTTCCCCAAGAAAATAAGTTTGTCTTTTGAATTGACGGAAGACTTTATTGTGGGAGACTTTATTGTACTGAAACTTATTCTTCAATTTCTTTTTCTTTTGTTTTTTTCTCTTTTTCTTTCTCACTTTTTTTTTTTGATAATGCAAAGTAGGGAAGTGCAGAGTTTCTCACTTAACTAATATTACACATGTCCAAAGGCTTCACATAACATAACACGAACTAGCTTCCCCTCTCTTTTTTTCTTGGAAATTGACTAATTTTTTTTCGGAAATTAACTAATATCATCCTTCAGCTTATCATCCAAATATTCCTCAAACTAAGTAATGTCATTCTAAACAACAACTAACCAATTCAATAGATCAATGAAAGTTCATAAGTTGTTTCCTCAACTCTCCACTCACTCACAAAAGATGTGTGAGTCTAGAAAAATGTGCACTTAAACATGACGATTATCTTAGCTATATATATTGAACATCCATCTAACCACAAAGTTTAGTATTGTGCGTAGAAAGTTTTCAGAGGTTATTCCTTGATAATCAAGATAGAAAAGTGACTTAAACCAAACAATTTTGAAATCATACCGTGATAGAAGAGCAGGAAATCCAATCTAAGCTTCTCAAGCATGCAATGCAAATTTATTCACACGAAACTACCAGAATAAAAATAATAAGTAAAGTGTTGGTTGTCTCTCTTTCACACAAGAAGAATGTATATAAAAAAGTGTGCATATTATGTGCTTGCAATGCTACCACCCCCAATCTAAACGAGACAGTGTCCTCATTGGCATAAAAATAAAAGAAATAGCAAAGCAAAGGGTAGGGGAAACCTGATTGATGGACTGAGACTAGACCTGCAAATTGCTCAACTAGAAGAAGGAAACATAAAAAAACTAATAAAAGAAAAACAAAAACAAAAAAAAAGAAAAGAAAGATAAAAATGGTAGTGCAGAAAGATAGAACCTGATTAAGCATTGTAGACCGAAGCTACAAGAGTGATCTTCTTAGGTTGGTCTACCCTCTCCACATCATGCTTCAACCATTGTCCATTAACTCAAAGAACTCTCCCCTTTCAGACAAGATATGTCTCAAAACAATACCTAGTCCCAAAAATGCATGTTTCAATCCTTCAGGAAGTGGGGATATCTCTATTTTTGGTGTCTCCATAGAAGATTGCTTCGGCTGTTCACTTTCATGCGGTAACTCCTCAAAGCGTGGTTGCCAAAACTTCTTCTACTTATCCTGCATGTCATTAGAAATAGAGGAAACATTAGAGACATCATTAATAGGATAAAACCAAAATTCAGAATTCAAATCAGAATTACAGAGGAGATATTCTAAAGATTCAGAATTTCCCTTTCATCTACTTCCTTCGCAATGAGAGAGTCTATCATGTAGGTATGATAGCACTCGCCCTCATCTCGGGGCTGCTTCCCAACAAGAAAAATATTCACCTAAAGAGTCATATTCCCAAGTGAATGTTTCATCAAACCATTCGTATAATTAATAAGAGCATTGGCTGTAGCAAGGAATGGCCTTTCTAAAATAAGCGGAATCTTTGACTCACTATCAACCACACATTATCTAAAACCAGAAATCCAACAAGATAATAGAACTTATCAATCTGAACTGAAGTGTCTTCTACTATCCCCCTCGGTTTTCGGATAGAATAATCAGCCAGCTATAATACCACAAACGTGGGTTTTATCTCTACAAGACCTAATTGCATGTAAACCGAGTAAGGCACTAAATTTACACTTGCTCCTAAGTCCAAGAGAGATTGACTGAACTCTTGTGTCTCAATATGGCAGGCAATTGTGGGGCACCCTGGATCTTTGTACTTCGGCAGTGTTCTCTGCTCAATCACTGCACTTACCTGTTCTGTCAGAAATGCAGTTTTGTTGACATGTTGTCTCCTTTTCATGGTACATAGATCCTTGATCACCTTGGCATAAGCTGGTACCTGCTTAATCACATGCAACAAAGGTAGATTAATCTTAACTTCTTTCAAATGTTCCAAAATCTCAACTTGGTTGCCTAAAAATTTTCCTCCAAATCTGAGAGCTTGGGGAAAGGGCACTTGGATCATAGCCTTCTTTTCTGGTTCTTTTGAGGGGGCATCTTCAGTTCTACTCGAAGAGGTGACATTTGTGCGGGGTGGGCTTGGCAAGGGCCCATCTTAAACCTTACCACTACGAGTAGTGATGACGTGGACCCCATTAATGTTCTCTGAATCAGAGGTGGATCCCTGTACCATATGTGACCCCTTCGGATTGGTCTAAGGTTGAGATGGAATTTTGCCTCTCTCTTGTATAGTAAGAGCATTGGTAATCTTAGTTATCTGATCCTTGATATCCTTGTTCTCTTTAACCACCTATGCAAGAACAGATTCAAACTTTTGGTTAGTCTTATTTTGTGCTTCCATAAATGCTTGAAGTGTTTCCTCTAAATGATTCCTATTTGGTCGATCATTGTATTGGGGTGCAGGATGAAATCTGGATGGTTGCGCTTCTACCCTCCAATTATTGTTGGACGATGTGGATTGGTCCTGATCAGCCTACCAACTAAAATTGAGATGGTTACTCTAGCTAGGGTTGTAGGTCTCTGAATAGGGTGAGAAAGGTTTCCTATACATTCCTATGGCATTACACTGTTTTTCATCAACCTCTCTCATCTCACCATAGGTTGGGCAATCTTGAGCTAAGTGATCCAATCCCCCATAGACAAAACATGAAGTTTGAGTTTCTACCCTAGCAACCGTGTGGGTAACTTTATTATTTCTCATCTTTAAGGCCTCAAGTTCCCTAGTTATAGCTTCTAATTGGTCTTTGAGGTTGTCTTCCTCCTTAAGA